TTTCTGTGACTTAACTTCAGCTCGAGTTGCCATGTTTGTGTTTACAGTAAACCAGTAACAATCTGAGATGCTATTCTCATGCTTGTTATTCTAAACACACGGCTGCTACCTCGGGAAAGGAATGATTTGTTTTATGTGGACCTCTCTGTGTTCTCGCTACACCCCTGGGACAGAACAATTCCATGTTTGTGAGATCACCGCTGTCCTACGCTTCTCTACAATCACAGTCCCAGCAGCAGCTCCAGGTTAGCGCCTAATGAGGGGAAGCAATGCAAACAATAAACGGCAATTAAACAACAAGGCAGTTACTGTTTGTCTGAGCTATGAAAATGTTCTTGAGTGAATCTTAACTGAGCCATTTTAATTAACGTGGCGTTATCCTCCTGCTGTGAAGATTGTCGAGTTGGATGCATGCTTTGACTGCCTGTGATGAGGAAAAACAAAATCTCTATCCATCACCAGCTTCCAGACAAACCATGTGAAGATTTTTTTTTTTTTTTTCAAAACTAGCTGGTTATTTTGACACACTTTATCCAACTTCACAAAAACTCTAACTATGTTGGGAACAGTAAACCCCAGAACGAGTGGATGCCATAGATGTGGTCTTGTCGTGGTGTTAAAGGAAATTTAAGAGCTGTACCCCAAAGTTCATGGTTGTTTCCTATTTGTCTCACATCCAGGCATAGACAGGCTTGGATGGCGTCTTCAACAAATGAGGCAAATGTCTACACTTTAGTAGAGACATATAAAGAACAGGGAGATGTTTTGAGCACCTGTGGAACATAAACAGTACCTCCGGGAAATTTCTGCACCTCCTTCAGACTTGCCGTGGGCCTTCCTGACCAGATTCCATCTTCTCTGTCCACCTCTTCTGTTAGAACATAAAGTTTTTATAACATTCCCATATTTTCTCAAACTTTTAGTGACTGTCTTTACAGCATCTCTGTGGATTAGGGCTGGGTGATACATCGATTTTAGCAATTAATCAAATTTTCTGTTTTTGGAGAGGATTGAAGTAAGAGTTTTTAAAGATACATTCTCATTTCTAAAAAAAAATTAAGGAACAAAGTGAGGGGAAAAAAATCAATTCAAATCAGAAATTGAATGTGTAATTTTATTTTTAAAAGGGGCAGTATTATGTATTCTACAGGCACATAGTGCCATTTCATAGCATAATTAAGTAACTATGTTACCTTCAGTTGTTAAAAAATACTACATGTACCAAATATGACCCAGGCGTTTTGCACAGCTGGATGGTTGCCATGGGAGATTAAAGGATTTCTCAAACATGTATGAAAAAAACCAAACACCACTCCAGGTATGTTTTTGACGAGGGAATAACAACATGATGTAAAGCTCAACAAAGGTTGATTTTACATAATACTGCCCCTTTAAAATTGCTGAGGATGTAGTTATGTTCACAGAGTAGCACTATGCTGCTAAAAACTGACATGCCTTCACAAGCCAATCCAGATTTGGCATTTTCTTCTCTAATTGACTCACGGTTTAAATCTTTTCTGAAAAAAAAAAAAATCCTCCTCTTGGAATCTTAGTCTCTGTTATTGCAACCATTCAATTTTAACGGTTATCAGCAGAAATCAGAGTGATTAAGCTGCTCCAGTATGTCACTTAAGAGTGTTTAGGAAACACAAATAGTACGTAAAACAGCAACAGGTGGTCACTTCCTGCTTTGACTAGGCATATATGCTGTGAGTGAAATAAAACATGTCAAACACTTCCTAATAAAACACTCATTATCCTGTTGTCAGCTTGAAGTGCGTAAAAATTGTTTTCCTGTCACGCACCATACTACTTTATTACTTCCTCCTACTCTGACATATCCCCCCAGGATTAGAAGTCCCCATCGCTGGCGGCTGAGTGTCCAAACTGTCTTCAGTAAGTAGGCCTCTTAATCCCCTGATGAGAATATTGGCTAAATTCCACTCCTCCTCTGTCCAGTTTAATGTCTCCGAGAGAACCAGGGCCCCGTTCTCCGTATGAGTGCGACAGCCACCTTATCTGTCCCACACAAGCTAGTCTAATTACAGCTAAAGACATTTCACGCTCACACTCTGCTTCTGTCCCGCAGAGTACAGGAGGTTCATTCATCATGAGAGACACAAAACACACTCAAGTGCATCAACCGTCTGCACCAAAACTGGCAACTTCTAAGCCTAAGTAATGACACACTGCAAAAAAAAATAAAAATAAACAGTGAGGAATCTGAGCTATTCCACGTCAGTCTGCTTGCATTTGAGAAACCCGCAAATAACCAACATTCAGGCCAAAAATCAACCTGAATGTTTTTGAAGATATGGGTTGGTGATAGTTAAGGAACAGAACCATAAAAAGAGTTGATGATCCCTGCGATGATCAGTAAGAAGTCAAAAACTCCACCTACATCAGCTAGCATAGACGCTTAACAGTGTTTACTGGAGTTCCAGACCTGGACTTGGAGTTCATTTGTCACAAAAATAAAGACTCCTAAACAAGACCATTTTAGTAACATTTTAGTGTAAACCTCAACAACACACCACTTCTCATTGTTTACTTTCTAAACATAATTAGTTAGAATTTACCTAACTTCATTTGAGTCAGTGGATTTCAAACATCGGTTGGAATTAAGGTAATTTATATCAGTGTCTTTCAGCTGGTAATCATAGAGGATTTTTTACTTTGTTTCTGTTGATAAAAAAAAATCAAGACAATGAGTTTAAAGTGAATAACCAACATTTTAGAGTGGAATTCTGTTTTCACATCAGTGCACATGAAACAAGAGACCACACCATGTCGGTCATACACTCACCTTACTAATTAAAATAAAACAACAATAATTTAATAGCAATTGATATTTCCACACAGGTATAACTTAAAAAAGTAGCACGACCAACCAAGCCAAACACTTTAATGATCAACAGACCCTGATAATCAAATCGGTCTTGTATATAATTAGAATCACCAAGTCGGTGTTTGGTCAGATAACGGCAGTTGCTGCAGCCCTAACAGAGGCATTAAACACACAACTATGCCGACAAAGATTTCCTCAACTCTGCCTCAAACCTGCGTACCATGACATTAGATTGTAAAAATTTGCATAGCCATCATTTACACATCGAAACTGTCCACACAGGTATGGTACAGATGAAAAATGATGCTGCAAACTGCCTGTGACTCCCCCATGGGACGCTTCTACACATTACAGTGGGATCAAGAGAACACGCATCAGTTCCTTAGTCCTAAACAGAGAGGGGCATAAATAATATGTAATCTTACACTATTATTTAAAAAAAACCCAAGACAGGACATGCAGAGTGAAGTCACAACAAATATCAGTTCCTGTTTCTGTCTAAAGTAAAATGGTAGCCTCAGGACTGGGTCCTCCTGTGGATTGAACTTCAGGATGAATTTAGCAAGTAGGTGAGCAACTCTGTTTCTGCAGCACAAACCCAATGAAAGATCAACAAAAACTACGAGAACTTAAATGCTTCGTCCTCCTCACAGAACCAAGACCACTAATGTAAGAGAAAGCAGAGTATAGACTGCCGAGTCCCAGGTGGAGGTGGGATTCTGCTGGCCCTCAGCACCACTACATGTCCCTGCCGTATCCAAGGAGACAGACGCTGCGCGTCAGCTGTAATCCTCATAATGAAAAATGAACTCACAGCACCTCAGAAGCCATCATCAGGGCCCAGATGGGAAAAGAAAGGAGAGAGAGAGAGAGAGAGAGATCTGAGGAGTAATTCAGGGGAATTAATAAAAAAAAAGAAAAAGAGAAAAACAGAGAAAGAAACAGAATTCTCACAATCCAAACTCAGGCTGAGGACAGACTAAACTCCAGTGACGGTGGTTAAACGTCCAGATGTTGGCCGGCAGGTTAGAGATTTTGTAGAAAAGATCCATGTCATGAACCAGCTGGATGGATTTTCTGTGAATATAATAAAAAGCTTTGCTCTCAATTAGGAAGCAAAACCGGAAGAAGGCTTTTACCTAATCCTGAGGCAAAGAGCATGCTGCTGCTGCTGCTGCTGCTGCTGCTGCTGCTGCTGCTGCTGCTGCTGCTGCAACCCAAACAGCTGAACTACTGATGGCAGACAGGTTTTGTTGGAGATGGCGTCCAAACGGATCACCATTCAATCCATCCATGGTGCTCTGCATGTAGGCCAGAAGGTTCACGCTTTTTCTCATATGACTTCAGTGACAAAGGGCCACATGGCTCATCTGTAATGTTGACCTTAAAGTTTTTTCCTCGTAACTCTTCCATAAAGGCCAGATCTGTTTAGTGCAAAACAGGTTTCTCCAACCTGAGCTGTGAACATCTGCAGCTCCTCCAAAGTTACCACTGAGAACCATGGGAAGCTAAAACCTATGCCACTTCAGGATTTCTGGGTACAAAATATTTTCAAAGATTTTTTTTTCCATCTTAAATGAAAATATGCATTTTTTTCTAGGGCTTTGAACAATGAACTTCCTAATTTTTCCCCTCTTTTACAGGCTAAATAAAAAAAATTATTGCCGTCAATTTTTTACTCTTTTTTTTTGTTTGTTTGTTCTTACTACTTTTCTCAAACTACATCCTATACAGGAAGGAGGGTGCGGAGGTAGGGAACTTACAAATGCACACCATACTTTTCAGATTTGTGTTTAAAACATTTGACACTGGACACTCTTATTTATGAATACTTTTTGACGAGACGTCAGCTTCCAGAATGGGAATTCCGTTTTTAAAATTGGAAAATACGTGCCAAAGAAAGTGGATAGTGAGACAAACCCAGAGAAAGATATTCAGTCTCTCTCTCCTCATCTGGTTTGAAACACGCGGTAACGCGACCATCACCCCTGGCAGCTTCGGTGCGCCAAGCTTGAAGCGCAGCACCGACCCATTCCTCCAAATCCACATTCAGTGCCAATTAATCGCCATCCGAGCCCAAGAGCAACACCTGCGCACTATTTACACGCGCGATACAAGCGGCGTTTAAAGTTCGCCGCAAAGCATTTCTTACCTGTTTCAGGGGCCAGCGGTGCGTCGGAGTTCACCGGAAACACTTTGAAAGCGGGTCGTTTCCAGCAGAAACCCGGCGTGGAGATTCCGCTACTGTCCTCTCAACAACCAATCCGAGGGAAAGAAAAACCATCAACAGTTCCTCTCCCCTTCTTTCACGAAGCGTTCCGCTCTCCCTCGGCTCTCGCCGTCCCTCTCCTCCGCTCGCCTCCCTCTCCAGCGCGCATTTTACGCAAGGCACGACACCAACTCCCCGCGTCCACGCTGTGTGCCAGCTGTTCCCACGCTGACCTCTGACTAAAGCAGACGATTCTCCTCTGCTTTAAGCTGAGCTTTTAATCCCCCTCGCGTCGTCGCGCGGTGCAGAGACTCGGAGCTTTGGCTTCAGAGGTTTCCCGGGACTCGACCTGCAGCAGCAGGTAAACTCCAGACTCACCTGAACGGAAGGACGCTGCCCCCGGAGGTGAGAGCAGCTGAAACACGGCAACGCTGCCCCCATGTGGTCAAAGAAAGAAAACTTTCCGTTTCCACTTTTAAATCACGAAGCACATTTATTTGGCCAACATCAATCCTATTGAAAGATATTTATTTCCGATCTATTAGTGCATGAAAAAGATTATTTTTGTAACCAAAAGTGGGTAAATTAAATAATATAAAAATAATGAATAGACCCTACAAATTAAAAGAAAACAGCAGTCCCCTTTTTGCTCCCCCATTCACAAGGTAAGAGCATGCACAGCTTGCAAGTATTGAAAAAAGGCTTATATTAAATGTTAAAATTAATACCAGACCATTAAGAGACTGATTCACCTCTTTCTAAAAAGAAAATGGCAACAGAGCTTAGGTTTGCCAAGTCTTAGTGAAACATAAAACATCTAAAATAATGTTTGACAGTTAACACTCTCCACAACAGACAAAAAAAGACCATATATCTCAACTATGATTAAATGGAAATGAGTCATTAGAGCACTTTAGATTATTCTGCTGCAGTACGTACACAACTATAACTATATTCATTTTGTCTTTTGTCATACAAGCTGACCCAGTGAGATCCACAAACTGTGATCTTTCAGGTCATGAAATGGTGGTGACCCCCCCCCCCCACACACACACACACACACACACACAAACACAATGGTATGGACAGAGTGGAGTTATACCGGCACCACACAACACAGTCAAATAATTGAGGGGCAGAAAAATGTCAGTGCTTGCAACAAGGATGAGACAAACTAGTGTGTGTGGTGTTTGGGTTAAGCCCTGGCTGCCCAGTAAGAGTCCAACTTTGCTGTGTTTGTTGTCAACATCACCTGCTGCCCATCTCTGTAACATCTGAAGTTTTCCATACTGCCCTCGAGAAAACAGTTTTTCTTCAAGAGTTCCTCAGTATTCCATGCGACTGTGTGCTGGGGAATCTCCCACTAGCATATTTGGGCAAGTGAAATTTTGTTTATCAGCTGTTAAACTGAGACTGGGTCCCTGCTGGCATGTGATTGTCATTCCATCTAAACATCCTAGGACAGACGTCTGTCGACTACTCTCATTCCTGTGACAACCCCACCCTACTCATTGACATGATGACTGAGAACCCTTTGGCAGAGAGACAGAGAAAGTCGGGTTCCAATCCAAGCTACACCTGAGGCCTGTAAGACCAGGGCTGACATGTCCATGGACCTGCAGAGGGAATATTCTGGGTTACTCTGCTTCACACCCGTTCTCTTCCCCTTTTGCTTTCTCTTAAAAGATTTGATTGATTTCATTTCAAATCAATACATTTGTGTACACATGTATCAGTTTAATACAGTTGTATACTGGAAGGAAATAAAGATGAGTTCTTCTCTTCTTGATTTTTATTGGCGGTTGGCAAACATCGGAAGGAGGCATTACTGCCACCAACCGGTAGGGTTGACAATAGCTTCAGTTAAAATTTCCCTATTAAATACTTTTTTTTTAAAGCAAGAAGAGGTCTAACTCCTAAGATATAACCCACTGAATATCAATGATAAAAAAAGATTAGTTTCATACAGTTATAAGCTGACATAAAAGACAAACCTAAAATGCTCTTGGGGGCCCCCTGCTGATGTGGAGGACGTAAGCAGCTGATCTGTTTTCTAGGCAGCTGTCCCAAGTTTTTAAACAAAATATGGCACAACTGAGAAACAAAACTTCCATAATCCTTTTAGTTGAATATTCATATTTTACAAGAAAAAAAAACATTTCAGAAAACTTTGTTTACACTTCATGTTTTGACAAGATGTACATATTAAAAATACACATCGAGGGAAACGTCTTCCAGCACCTTTGGCTTGGTTTTGACTTCAAAATATTTGAGTAAATTGTTCCAGGAACAAATCATTTCACTGACAACCTCATTTTTATTGCTAGAATTCAAAACAATTTCAAATCTTCTGAGGAATAAAGCCAGGTTTTCTTCCACATACATGAGCAAGATCTCAAAAACCAAAAATAAACTCTTCAAAAGACCAAAATCTAACAGCTGGGTTTCAAATCCGTTTGGTGAATAAAAAGAAAAAAAATAAATAAATCCATACAACCTTAGAAGAATATCTAATAGTGGAAGACAATTTTTCCTGTCAGGGGTCAGCAGAAAATTTGGAGCTTTTATTACAAAGTTTGTATACGACGCCTTCTACTCCTCCAAGGGCATAACGGTAATTTTTCCAGTATCTTAAGATTTTCACAAAAGTAAAGAAAATTGCATGTTTAGTAAATGAACGTTTCTATAAAATTCAGATATGTTTAGTACAGTAAAAAAAAAAAAAAAAAAAACAAGAACAACATGCCAAGACCAACAGCAACCATGCAATTCAAATCGCTGTTGCATAGAGCAGTGTTTCCCAACCCTGGTCCTCCAGGCTCACTGCCCTGCATGTTTTAGGTGTTTTCTTGCTTCAGCCCAGGTGATTTCAATTGACAGATGTTTGCTGAACTGCAATCAGCTGAATCAGGTGTAGAAAAGCAGGGAAACATCTAGAACAGTGTTTCCCAACCCTGGTCCTCACGCCCCCCTGTCCTGCATGTTTTAGGTTTTTCCTGAATTGTATCTCTGGGTGATTAACAGGCTTCTGTAGTACTTGATGGTCATGCAATCATTTGAATCAGCTGTTCTGGAATAGAGGCACATCTAAAACATGCAGAGCAGTGGGGGGGGCTGTGAGGACCAGGGTTGAGAAACACTGATTTAGAACATGCAGGGCAGTGTGCCTTGAGAACCAGGCATGGGAAATACTGGCACACTGTATCAGCTACATTTTTGGCATAGTTGGTAAAGAGGTGGGAAAAAAAACCCTCAAATATAAATTTGCTTTTTTTTTTTATCTCAGCATCATAATCAGTCACTGAAAATATTTGAGAACTCTTAAGGTAGACTTGGATCACTGATGGTCTTTTTTGGTGCTAGGAACATCTAATTAGTAATCCCTGACTTCGTTTACCAGGGTATAAATATGATGTGACACAGCAGATTTTTTTTTTCAGTCATTTGCCTCTGTGCTGAACTCATACTTGTTTTGCCACCACACACCAATGAACCTTTGATGTCAGTTCACCTGGTTACTGACAGTAACTATGGGTGGCTTTTTTACCCTTTAACTCAGTTTGTGAATATAATTTACTGACAGCATAAAACAAACAATAGATAAACTCCACTTAGCATAAAGCTGTAACTTTTCTAGTTTCTAGTCAATTGTTTGAATAACATATTTTTAGAGCCATTTATGTTTAATAAATATGCAATGTTTTCTTTGACTCATTTCAAGTTTTACATTTATTGAAATAATATAATATTCCTTATTTGGCAGTGTAATTATCTTAATACATGTAAAGGAGTCTTCAGTTTGGGATACGTAATATAAAGCCTGTCCTCAGCTACAATAAAAACACTGCAATTATCTGCCTTCACGTGCAATTTATACCATCCTTACTCAAAGTGCTTTTAGGTTGTTTGATTGTTCATTTAGCTCTTCATCACCTCTCTAAAACCAATTATTAAATATACTCTAAAACCTTTAAAGAAAACGTAAAAAAATACTTCACACTAAGTGCCTTAAAGAATAAGAGAATAAGTCAATGCAAATGAAACCCCAACATCGTCCCAGTAGAGTTTTTCAGACAAATCTGCTGTGAGGAGTGCTTGGTAAAAACCTTCCCCTAAAACCTGGTTCACACTGTGTGATCATAAGACAGCTTTGGAAAAAACCATCTGGTGAAGGAAGATTTCTGATCTCAATAGTAAGTACTGACATCAGATTTAAATACCAAGCTGTGTTCAAGATGTCCTGCTTCAACAGGTTTTTGTCACTGCCTCCTTTTCTTTACCTGATTCTGTTTACGATAGCGCTAACACATGTAACTCGGTGTCCATTAACCGTTGGACCAATACTTCTGTTGAAGCTTTCTGATGTGATTCTGCTAAACATTATCTGACACCAAACAGTGTTACAGTAGCATACATGTACATTCAGAATTTCACAGTATGATGCTTCCACAGTGCGACATGTTCAAGTCTGTTCAGATCCACCTCCATCCATCTGTCCATCATCTATACCAGCTCATCCTTGGTGCTGCGGTCAGTGCTACACCCTGAACAGGTCGCCAGGGAAACGCAGACACACAGGACAAATAACCAACCACACACTCCGGCTTAAGGACAAGTGGGATACACCAATTTAAGACTGCTACATTACCTTCTTAAGTCACAGTTCATTCATAGACATATTCAAGTATTGGCATCTAACTCCTCTGACCTAACAAATAAACAAGTTGAGGTAAAAACGCAACAAACCCAACAGCTCAAGTGGCTTTGAAAACACTTTAGCTGTTTGATACCATTTTCAGACTCAAGTATCTTGTGAAGATTAAAGAAAACATTGTTCACATTGTTTAATACATTTGGAGAGACATCTGTGTGGTCATAATTTTGACGCTTCAGTTAAATTGAACAGATTGTTGTAAGCCGTTACTAGCCTGTAGTTTGGTAAAGAAACGAAGGCTACCATTTCAGAATAAAGCATGAGCATACAGCTAGTCTGTATGTTCATACACTCCTGAAAATTAAACAAAAACTGTTAAGGAGACAACAAGTCTAAGTCAAGTCTGAAGTCATGGGAGCTCAGGCACAGGTCTTTGTTTTTGCAATTAAAGCACAACTTAAGTCCAAGTCTGACAGTCAATTACCATCTCTGCATTAAAAGTTAACCCAAAACTATTCATATACGTGGCAGATTTAAGTTTAAAGTAATCTCTTATATGGCCAACATTTCTTCTGACTGAAAGTAACTTTGGTACTTTCAGTCTGAAAGTGGCCAAGTGAACAATTGTTGCAAAAGTTTTGTTATTGCAGTATTGCTGTATGTTATAGGAATATTGTGAAAAACTGCTTGAAATGCAAAGAAAAAAAAATAGCAAATCATTTAAGTGCCATGCAATCAGGTGTGGGTGACACTCGTTTACTGCACAAGGAAAATGTTTTAGAAAGTAAAGAGGTGGTAAAGTCATGAAGAAACTACAACTAAAGCTACGTTCACATGACAGGTCTTGATGCTCAATTCCAATTTTTTGCTAAAATCCCAATTTTTTTTTCTTTTTTGTGTGGTCGTTCATACTACTAATATAATACGACCACAACCGGACTTCTCTGTGTGAATGAAGACTCACTCCCAATCCGACCCGCATGTGCAGAAAGAGAACGTTGACGTCACACAGCAGCGGTCTGCTTACACATCTAATAACGGACGTCATCATCTATGGATTTTAAACTTGTTGACAAACTGAAGTTTTTTTCCATCAATTAGTGGGTGGCTATAAATCATGTTTTACATGACATTTTTTAAGAAAAAGTAAATAAAACTGAAAGTCATTTTACAGTGCTTTTATCGCAGAGACAAAACTAAATAAGGATGTTAAATCTGCTGGGTGTATGATAACGTAGGTTTAACTGTAAGTGCTCCTTGTATAAACTGGCAATCTTTTGTAAATCACATATTTTATAAATAATAATTATTGCAATGCAAGTAATCTCAGTGCTACATTTTTGGTAAGCCTATGTACTGCTGATGAAATTCTCATCTAAAGATAGCTCACAACCTTCCACCACAGTAAGGTCTTTATTTTTGACCTAGATGACCCAACACCACACTTAAAGTGGCAGTGACCCTTAGTGAGCTGGGATGGAAGTGTTGTTTAGTTTACAGCAGCGTTGCAAACTGCAGATTGTCACATGGACAAACCTCACAGGAACCTAGAAGTTGTCTTCTAGGCCGTCCCATTCCAGAGGTTACTCTCGTAGTTTTTCAGGCAGATGTGAACACGCTGGGTGAAGTAGCTGCGATCCGAAATCGCTCGTAGGAGGTCGGTCTGGACCAAGGAGATGTCGTACAGCTCTGCAGTGCCCGCTGTACGGGTGTCATGGCCGCCGGGCTCCAGGAACACCTGGTGGAAACAACGAGAAGGTAGGTGAGCGGGGATACAGAAGACAGGATGAAGATGACTTTCTTACTGCATTTCAAAGTCCAATGGGTGTTTTGGAATGGGTAATAATCAATGGGTATATATTTTTCCCCAACACACCCTAGAGATAGCTCTGTCAATGTCAATTTCTAGATGCCCAAATGTATCCAGTTGCAGTCTTGTGATCGGCTGATTTATCTTTGTACATAACAAAGAATGTAGCTAAATAGATTTAAAATACTTGAAGAAAACTTGGTTTCAAATTGATCTAATGAAAAGATAGATTTTTTAAAATAAGATTAAATGTACTTAGTTGGTAGATTAATTGATTGAGAGGCTAACTGTGATTGGATTATTGTTAGAAATATTGATAGAAAAGTAATAGATTGAAGAGTTTTGGTTAAATGTTTAATCAATTGATATTTGTTTACTTCACTGATTTAGTAATTAATCTGCTGATTGATTTTGGGGTTTTCTGTAAAAAAAAAAACAACAAAAAAACAAAAGATGTGTTTACATATTTGTTAAAATTATCACTCATGACAGTGTACCATAGTACTGATCTGTGAAAAAAGAAGGAGGAGGGTCTTAGTGCTGTCAATCAACCTTATATGGATGCTTCAACTCTTGCTCTCTGATATGCTAAAGCTTCTTCCTGACAGCTAGCTTGCCATGAATGCTCAGGCTAGTTAGTTTGGCCACCAATGTCGGCAGATAAACAGCTTCTCAGCCAAAAGCATGATTAGCAGCACATACACAAGGTTGATTAGCAGCGTTAAGACCCTCCTCCTGGCTCTGATAGGTTGTTTTTGACCGGGAGCTGTGCATTTCTTTATATTGCAATAGTAGCACTGAGAGGAGGCCGATTATTTCACAGATTATCTGTCTCATTCTATCACGACACGGTGACAGTTTTAACTAATGTAAAAAACATATATTAGTAGAAGTTGTATACATAATCATCGAAAGTATACTGTTGCTTTCATCGGTTAGTTTATGATACTTTCATAAAATAGTAACAAACAGGATCAAAACTAATTGCGTAGAAGTTCCAATTCATATTTGAACTAATTAGAATATTAGTGAAGCCACATTACCTTTGGACTAACAATGGTGTCCTCATCATTTTGTCGGATGTTGTCGTCTATAAAGACATGCTGAACATTCTGGTCAAAGGGGTCAATCCATAGGGGCTTCCCTCCTCGGATGGAGAAGGTGTTGGTAGCCCACCTGGACACAGACGCCCGGATTAGAAATCATTTGAAATAGAAGGAGAAAGAACAAAGTGGCAATGTATATGCTGCAGCTTCTGTTTGTGTACCAGTCAAAGTGGTCCTGGAAACCACTGAGACCCTGCACAGAACTCAAGTACTGGTAGAGTCCTCTCTCTCCATCACGAGTGGACACACGCTCTTCAGCCCGGCTCAGGACGATCCCTCGCTTGGTACAGCGGATCTTACCCGGAGTCATATCCACTCTGAGCTGAACCAAAGGCAAACGGAGAGCAAAGGTCAGAGTTAGTAAAAGAAGAGGGTAGGAGAAGAGACGTAAAAAGAAAGCAAGTCCTAAAGTTCTTAATCATATTAGCTTGATTGTCTAAGAAGGAACCGAGATTAAATGAACAACATTTACAAGCAAAATCTTCTTCATCAGAGTGTCATACAACAGCTAAGTGTCTTCAAATCGGTTGCAAGACAGACCGGTACAGCATCCACAACAACTCTGAGGATATTTGTACAATACAGTTTACAGCAATACCAAATTTTATAAAAAGAGATTTTACTTCCTGATGTAACACCTTCAAATTGGGTTTCTGTTTCTTTAAAACCTCCTGCTCTTTCTGAAACTCCACTTTCAGGAAGTCATCACAACATCCCTCCTCTAATAACACTTTAACATAGTTTTTACCATCGTTGCACTGAGAAGTAGCTCATACAATGAGCTCAGCAGATGTTGTTTCACCAGGTGTTGGCGAATTGCTGCTGGCTAGTCTGAAGGATCTGAGTGGGGGAGGGCTGCTCTGTGAGGCAGAAGGTTGGAATCTTCAGCTCTGAGGAGGAGCAGCACCTTGAAGGCACCACTAGGTCAAACCAGGAGTTTTAGACAGCTGAATAGTTGCCATGGAGATTAAAGGATTTGTCAAACATGCACAGAAGAATTAAAGCAACATTCCAGGAATGTTTTTGATGAGTGAATAACACTTTAACGTCATGTAACACTCAAAAAAATTATTTTACATAATACTCCCCCTTTAAGGTAATTTTCTGTCACCTGAACAGTTAATAGGCAGAGTTCTGCAAGGCAACACTGAAGATCTAATATTAGCTGATGTTTAGGAGTGACCCTGCCTCACCTTCAGCTCAGGCAGATCAGGGAACAGTGGGTGAGCTCCCTCACTGACTGCTCGAGACACGGCCTTCAACACCCGAGGCAGGTCAGTCCCAAACGTGCGGAAAACGATGGCAAATTCCCGTCCTTCCCACGCCAGATCTCTGATCAGCTGGAAGAAGGAAGGGAGGATCCAGTGGTAGAGTCGGCCATCTTCTCCTTTAACAGACAGCTGTCTGTCTTCCTGTGGGAAACGGTGTTGAAATACTTCGTTCTCATGATGTTGGCTAATTGCAAAGAAATCAAGCATGTCCAACTTGGCTTGAACAGCGACCCCTTTGACTTAAGAGAGGAAACATCAAAAGTAATGTCAACTCAACATTATTATAATACATCTGAGTGTAGGTAGCTGCACTGCTCAGAGAGGAGTCACCTTCGTCTCAGAGCGTCAGGCAGGTTTCTGTGATCGCTCACTTGCCTTGACACCCTCAGGCCAGCGGAGCAGCTCCAGATGTTCCTCCAGCAGCCCTTTGAAGCGTCGCCCAGCAACAGAGGTGAAGCCTGGTGAGCGTCCAAACTGAGAGTAGTAGCTGGAGGCGTCGCTGCAGGGAGGTAGCAGGGAGGCGGAGTCACTCAGCCATTCCCATTTTCCTGCAAGAATTACCCAGCATGCAAGAGTTTCAGAGATGGAAATTATGACATTATTCCTATCAAAAACAGTAAAACTTGGAGTAGGACTGAAAAGCCATTTTAAATTCAGTAACTTCTATTTAAAAAATAGGTCTTCTCATTCTAAGCAAAAGTGTATATTCTGCTCACAGATTGACTATGTTTAAATTGTCAGGCTGTTCAATTGAAGGACATTTGACATCATGAAATAATACAAATCATCACAACCTACAAATCTTTTCTCACCACGGGGGCTTACAGCTAATATTCCACTGTGTTTACTTCATGTCATCATGTTAAATGTCATTCAGTTGAATAGCATGACAATTTAAACATAGTCAATCTGTGAGCAGAACAGACGCTTAGGATGAGAAAACCTATTGTTATAGAAGTAATTGAATTTAAAATGGCTTTTCAAGTATGATTTGAATTGTGTGAGATGACGTGTTTCTATCATTGGGCTGAATTTATGGTATGACTTACGTTTAAAAATGACAAATGTTTTCATAGGTGGAGTAAAAAATATATTGATAAGTATTTTGCATCTACCTATATATCGTAAAGTCAATATAAACCTAATGAATGGTTTTCTGATTTTATGTATTGCTTGAAAATATTATTAGAATATAAATTACTACTTAAAATAGACACTTTCAAGGAATTATGTCATTTCAGTCTTCCACAGAGTGACGAGGAATCAATGAAAGTGGAATCAAAAGTAGTTCTCAGTGACTACTGAAGTGTTTATATCACTGAAAATAAAGAAATTAACTCAATATAGTGCTGAAATTATTGAATACTTTCTAAACAGCAGTTCCATCCAATTTTTCCACGTGTGTTCTAGAAAAAGAACAATAAATTCCCGGTGTCAGCTGAAAGCAGCTGGACTTTACCGTGTTTGCTCATCTTCCCCCAGGTCACGGTGGTGAGGAAGTAATCCAGAGCAGCCACCGTCCCTTGTCCGGTCACCGTGTCCGAGACTAGGATGGTGTTATTCAGGTCCATGTGTAGAATTAACTTTTTCTTCGGTGAGTGGTCTGCGCAGCCGAGTGCCCGAGGGACTGACACCGCAGGGTCACCTGCTGTCCCCCGCACCGGTACACAGATACTGCCGCTCTCTGTTCCTTCGTGTTCCTCCGCCATGACAGCTCTGCGGTTACACAAAGGGTAGCATTCTATCTGACTGACTCATGGATCTTAGCCATTTGTCAGTTACCAGGGTGACTCACTGGTATCCACCAAACACGCGAGATGTTTACCGGTAGCTACTTCCTGATTCCCCGGTATCCATCTTCTTCTTTCTCATTATCAGGCGAGATGGTGACGAACACTGAGAACACCGCCAAACAGCGCCATCTTCCTGTGGAAAAAGTCACTCATTTTTCACAGGCCTATTTAATTTTGTTACTAATGAAATTCTGTAATTTTGTTTGCAGTGATTAAACTAAGTTACATTTCATTATATTATATTTTATTTTATTTTTAATTATTGACTGTAATTTAGTCCGGGAGGTGGAGTTCAGAGGGTGAGAAACCCTGAAAGACACCAGCCCTTGGATCACAGTCTGGAAAAGTATGAAATCTGCCTTTCCCAGATATTGATACTAATGAAAAAAGAATTGTGCAAGCAAGCCCATTTGTCCCTACTCTATTATCTGAATGTTTTATCCAGTGACCTTTAATGCATTGATATCATCCACCCAACTCCTTCCTTCTATTCTTATATATTGAATGGGTAGAATAGGACTTTGCACCAGTGGTGCAACTACACATTATTCAGGTGGATGCAAAAACATAAATCTGTATGTCTATAGTTGAGAAAAATAATGCACAGAGATTTGTTCCATGTCTAAATATACTGTGCATTGTCCCACCCAGTATGAAACCCTTTCTGTTTCATTTACTACCATGCACTATAGGTTTGTTGTAGAAAAGAAAATATCTAACTTATTTTGTCTCAATAGCTCCTGCAATCTCTTCTATGCATCTTTAATATTTAATTTAAAGTCTCACCATTAAAGCTCACATAGGAAAGAGAAGAAAATAGGCAAGCAGAAAA